TGACCTGAGGCTTCTTTGGCACCGAAATGATAGTGGCAGACTTAAAACATGGTGGCACTATGGATTGTTTGCGCAAGGTGTTAAAAATGTCCATGAGGACACCAGTCAGCTGACCTGCACACTCCTTGAACATCCGCTCAGGTTTGTTATCGGGGCCTGGGGCCTTCCTTGGGTTGACTCTCCTCAGTCTTCCACATATCAGCTGTCTTTAATTTAAAATTAAAATAATGTAGTAAAATCACATTTTTACAATGTCATTTATCATTGTTAGTGATTATAAGCTCTGTTTAGCTGCTGAATAAAATGATCTGAATCTACATTTTTAGACTATATTCTATAATGTTAGGCCTTAGTACAACAAAATTTCAATATTTCTGGTAATACTGAGGCAGGCATCCAATCTTACCTGAAGAAACCCCCCCCCCATTTTTTTCCACTGCAGTTTGTAATATCTCGTCTCTTTCCAAAAGAAATCTTAAATTCAAGCTGTTTCTATATTACTATGGTTTTACAGTAACATGACTGTTTCTTTGCAACATGTTTCACAAATATTTTGAACCCTGACCGAAAAACCTGGTAAACGTTGCCTTATGTGTAAATAAGTTTGCTTGGATATAGAGTAAATCAATAAAATCAGTGAATTGTATAAAAAAGCCAGATATTTCCCCCTTGTTTTTATGTATTCATTTTTTTTTTTATGTGAGTTTAACTTTTTTTTGTTGCCACTAGATGGCGACTGTCGCAAATTTCTCTAAAAGCTCAGTTTTACCCATATCATTTTTTAGATAAGAACTTTAAGAGATAAAATAAAGCATTATTTGTCTTCTGAATACACATGAGAATTCTTCTAAAATGACTTTATTTTTGTTTAATCTCATCATATTCCTCCAATATATGAAACAATATTATTTACTATGCACTTGATAAGTATGCTAGTTTTCTTATCAACACCAAATAAAAAATGCAGTTTGTTTTATTTGAGAAAGCGGTAGAATTCAAAGTCAGAACATTTCCAACAGATCTTATTGTGACAAAAATGTTTAAATCTCCAAGTATCAGAACAAGCATAAGACAGAGCTTCTTTCAATTCAGATTTTTTTAATGCCAGAGATCTAAATCTCTGATAGATCTAAATGATAGAGAATGTTTATATTAAGCCAATTATAAACACATTTAGTTTCAATCTTTTTATCTGCAAATAAACTTGCTTTGAGTAGAAGTGAAGGTCTGAATTAATTCTACAAGTCATCACTCGTCAGACATTGGGTTTTTGTTCTGCTAAATAACATTAAAAAATCTTTCAAAAATTCCTGCATCCAGATTATGATGTCGATCACCACCAAAATGTAATGGATTATTCCTTGGAATGAGTGGCACTGTGGGTAAAATCTTTATTAAAATCAGTTCATAACTTTTCAAGTTATCCTGTACACAGACAGACAGACAGATAGACATACAACCTCCTCGGTAGAGGAAACAATAAACTGAAGTAGGAGTTAATCTTGAAAAGGATCTTTTAAGTATGAGATATTTTTAATCCAAAAGTTTAACAGGCCATTTTTCTTTTTTTTTTGCTTTTACCATCTCAGCTGACGCACTTCTGGTTGGTCAAACTCAAAAATAAGTTAAAGAGGCTTTACAGAGTTTTCTAATGATACTGCCACTTGTGGCCAAAGCCCAGAACTGCAGAACTCTTCTGCTCATTCTCATAGCTCGTGTTTGTACTTAACAAGGTTATTCCTTTTACTTTTTCACCTTACCTGGAGTTGGCATTGGTGTCTGAGTTGAGCTGGATGCCAGTTGCTTCTGAGTATCTGCAAAATCCATCTTGAATATAACGCTTTAATTGTTTGCTAGGTTGGATACTTTTAAAATGGAGGTGCTTGATGTCCCATCCACTTAACTGCAGGGGAACTTCCAAGTTGAACTTAATTCAGGAAAAGAAACAACAGGCTTTTACATCAAACATTTTTTTAGGTGTAAAGGGTCAAATAAAAAGGCTGTTATTGTCATGGTTTTGGTTCAGTTTGAATTTTATCTTTGAGTTTTGATTGGTTTTATTTCCATTTTGTGATTCTAGATATTTTTGATAGTATTTGAGTTCTTAGGTATTTCTTGTTTGCCCTCTGTTGCCCTCTTGTGTCAGTCTCCTTTTCCCTAGCTCCCTTCTAGACTCCTCTCTTCACACCTGCTCCCAATCTGGTGATTAGCCTGGTCTTTGTTTCTCTCTCCCATGTATGCTCCTCCTGCCCAGTCACTGTTTGCTGATTTGTCATCATCTCCTCCCCTTCAAGTGAGTTTTCTGGTTTTCTGTATTTTTGTGGATTCTGACTGTTAATGTTTTTGGATTTTTGCTTCTGTTGCCACTTTTGTTATTAAATCTGCAAGAAACCACCTTCAGCTTCAGTCTCTGCATTTGGGTCCTTCAAGCCTCCACCCAACTTGACATTACAAACCAGCCAACAATGGACCCAGCAGACTTGGACTCAGTTTTGGGCGCCCATGAGAGACCGATCAACAATCAGGAGGAGCAACTGTTCCAATTGCAGGAGGAGCTGAAGCAACTGAATACTCAAAGGGGTAGGTTCATGATCTTTTCTGAACAGATTCACTTTCACAGATGAAATCCAGCGGGTCAGAGCTCCTCAGATCAGCCTGCTTCAAATCATACTCTTCCTTCTCCTAGAGTTTAACCTTCTGTGCCACCTGCCTTCTGTAAACGCAGGCACTGCTGCTGGCAGAAAAATGTAACAGCCTCCCCAGAAGGGCAGCCTGACGCCATCCCTTCCTCTCCAGTGAGTCAATCTGACGACACTCCTCCCTACCCGATGTATCAGTCACTTGCTAGCCTCTCTCCACCACCAAACCAGGTCAGTTTGCCATATGGTCTCAGGCGCCACCTTCAGGACTCCCAGCTGTCACCACCTCTTAGAGTAATTAAAAAAATCTATTTGTCCCAGCCATTCTCCATCTATCCTTTTAGAAGAAGCAAAAAAAGGAAGACCTTTTCCTTTTCTTTCCAGCTCTATCAGCTCCATAACAGCCAGCCTTTTCTGAGCCAGAGCCCCTTATTAACCCTATCAAAGGCTATTTTAAATATCTTTTTCAGCAAAAACTTCCATAATGTCTCTTTAATGTTGAAGCCTTAAAAGTTCATCTGATAACCATCTGTATTAACTATAAATTAACACAAAAAGTTGACATACTTAATGCTGATAAAGCCACGAGTGTTTCCTATTTTAAATATAAAGGGAACAAAAATTTGGTTAAAGCTCATTTAATAATAAACTTAATGTGTTAGCCATGCTCTTGGCTATATATGCATCAATTTAAAGATTTAGTGATCAAATCCTTTGACTGAACTAGTTGTCGTAATTCAGGTCACTAAAAAAAAAAAAAAAAACTGCTGCCATCATTACCTGGTTGCCAGGAAACCTGCATGGATAGAACAATGCTATCAGTCTAACAGAATAGATGAGGTTATTTTGTCTGTACCTTTTTTAAGAGAAGAATTATATAGATGTGGGCAAAGTGAAAACAAATCTATGGGTCCCATAGCCCAAGGGAAGGGTAGTTTATACCAGACCAACAAAGGTATCGTATAGACTGGATGATATGATGGGGAGACCAAACGTCCTCTTTTGCCTGGACATGTCCACTTTATACATTCTGTCCGGGGTGTCCGGGAGGGACATTCATAAAAATGTCTGGTTTTCACTGTTTTTCGTTGGACCATAATCATACCATGAAATTGACTGCTGTTTTTTTTTTTTTTTCTTAAAGGCGCCTTTCTGGACACTCAAGGTCACCGTACAAAAACATAAAAAGTGTCAGAAAAAATAAAAATTATAATTATAAAGACATTTAAAAACAAATAAAAAATACAGAGGCTGTGACAGTGAAATTGATATTTAGTTTTGCACAGAAAACTACGGTACTTTGTTGTTGAACGTAATTCTCGAGAGACAGCCGTGTGGGAAGGTCTAGCGAGACACACACAAACACACAAACACACACACACGCATGCGCGCACACACACACACATTATACACACACACACACACACAGGAAGCAGAACAATCAGCATGGGACACAAAATGCTGAAACGAAAGTGCAGCTTCATAGATAAGATGCAAAGAAAAATGTACCACCCCGGTGGTGACAAGTGGGAGGCTGAGTGTGCATTATGCAAATCTGGCACATGTTTCATAAAACATAAAAGTGAAAAATCACATTATACATAATATTACCTCAAAGTATAAAAGCCCGCATATAACTTCATCCTTTTTACAAATATGTTTCTATATCCCCTGCTTAGTTTGAACAATTGAGCAAATGAGGAAAAGCACTTATCAAATTAAAAGACTGGATACTGGTTTTCTGTTTTGTTTATTTTCTTGTTTTCATCATACAGATACAATTTCAGAACTTTGTCATGTTAAACATCAGAATTTTTTTCTGTTCAATTGTTTGAATCTGGATATTATTTCTTGCTGCAGCTTTCAAATCATTACGTGGGTGTTAACTTCCTGTGTTTGCACTATTGCCCCCCCCACCCCCAATCCCACCCCACTGAACAGAGCTTAGCTGCTGCTTGTTACGCTATTAAACATTTCCTGTTACCTCATGAATCCTAAAATCTATGTGAGAATTGATAAGTAAATCTCTCTGAATCAGTTTAACTCTTCTTTTTATTATGAATTTGTAGCTGGTGGGATTATTTTGTTTCTATAATTTTATTACAAATCATCTCTGCTTTTACTGAACACATCTTAAAAGAAAAACTGTGCTGCAAATAACATCTATCTAAACTAACAGCCTGAGATGATAACCCACTTCCTCCTGCATTTCCTGTTCAGCTATCAAAAAGAAAAGAACATTTGCGGTGTGATAAAATCAGAGTTTACAGGATAGTCAGACAGAACCTTAGCCGTAAACATTTCGCAGCATGATATATAGGGTCAACATTTTTACAGCAGCAGGACACAAAATTAAGCATTTATTTCATATTTTTAGGGTATCAAAATATTTAAGAATATTTTATTAGAAGATCAACTTGCAAAAAACAAAACAACTATTTACCGTCAATAAGAGGAAGTGTTGAGTCTCAGGAAGTGGGTGCTGCACCTCTGCTCTCACTCGCTGACACACAATGGCTGGACTCGGATGGATTGAAGTGTTATTTCTGTTTCTGCAGCTTCACGTTACAGGTAAGATAATAAAAATCAACCTAAATAACTCTAAGATAAATATATATATGCTTTATTTTCTATTTAATCATTGTTATACTTACAAACCTTAATGTATAATAAATTAGACTGCCATAGATGGCTGCATTTCAAACTCCTGCTAAACTTTGTCTACATTTTGACTGTAAATGATCTGTCAGCAAACCTTTCATTCATCTTTTATCTTTTCAACAGTGTTTGCAAATATTGCATCTGTTTTAAAGAGAGTTGGAGAGGAAGTCATGTTTTCCTGTCAAAATGTGAGAGATGTTCAACACAACTGTAATGAAACAACATGGCTGCTCTCTGGGCTCAATGCAAAGGAGATTGTGCCTTTGGTTACATATGGACAGATTGATGAGGGTACCGGAAGCAGACTCACTGTTACTCCAAACTGTTCTCTCGTTTTAAAGAACATCACAGCCGAAGATGTTGGACGTTATGAATGTCAACAATATAAATATGAAGGACTGGTTAACAAGTTTGTAACTGATCTATCTGTTATTACCTGTAAGTATTTATGCAAGTCATTTCATAAATTTGACCTGAAATCTCATCATATGTATGACTGTATCAATGAAGGTAACTTTTTTGAGAATATAATTTCCACAGTGGCTGAACAACAGGAGAACCAAACGATCACATTAAGCTGCTCTGTTTTAAAGTATGGCTCCTGTAAACACAGAGTAAAGTGGCTTTTAAATCAACAGGAAATGAAAATGAAAGAAATAAAGACATCAGCAGCAGGATGCTCTGCTACTGTGACTTATCCAAAGACATTCTTTAATAAGTTACCATCAATGGATCAGTTTTTTCAGTGTAAAGTGACGCAAACTAGTGACCAAAAAGAACAGCTGTTTTCCTTCAGCTATCAGTCCTCAGGTAAGAGATTATGAAAGTATCAAGTTTTTATACCTAAATAAACACACAGATAAATCAATGAAAATAGAACTGTTGTTGAGCAAAATGTTTTTCTTTTTTTTTTTTTAATAAACCAACAACAGCAGAAGATAAAAAACAGATGAAAACTCCATCAGGAAGTAAGACAGTTTCAGCAGACCACAAAGGTAAGTTTATCTTTTTCAGGTAGATCTTCATGCAGTTTACTCTGATCTTGTTGTGGTTTTATTTCTTATATTTTCAAACACTCAATGTATTTTATGCAAAAAAAATGTCCATCAGGATTTTAGGTTGTTTCTCATTCCATATTTTGAGTGAACTAAACTAGCCATGAATACATAACTGACTGATAAAACAAACTCTACAACATCTTTAAACCTCTGCTTTGTTTCGTTGTTTAATGCTAATTAAGGAAGAACACACGATAATTCATTTTACTGCAGGATTTTCTTTTTATATTTGAAATATCTAAGGGAACATATGTTTTCTTTTTCTTTTGGGCCCCCCTTCAGTCAAGGGCCCCTGAAATCTTCCTAACTTTTCACCCCCATAAAGCACCCCTGACTGCCCCACATCCCTGCAGGGTCAAATATTAACTGAATTGAGTTTAATTCAATTCAGTTTATTTCTATTGCACCAATTCACAACTCGTGTCATCTCTGGTCTTTTTACAGAGACAATTTAATCAGATTTTACAGCCAGATTGGTCAAAAGTTTTTTTTTTTTTTTTTTTAAGAAAAAAAACCCCATCTTACTGCATTCAGTCTTTAGCCCCATTTCCACTACCCTCTGAAAACCGATCCGTGCCGAGTTCGAACCAAGCTTGGATCAGTTAAATGTGCCGAACTCAGTTCCTTACAACCATTTACACACCAGGCTAGCACAGTTCCTCGCCTCCTAGTGACGATCTGTGGTACTTCTGCTCTCTAGAGGTAAACAAGCAAAGAAACGTGGCAGTGCCCGTCACATTCAGGAAGTTTGTGGAGATTCAGGCGAAGAAGGCAGCCTTTGAAGAATTTACTAGACAGTCGGCTTGAGGGGAGTTGATACGACAAACGATAGTCTAATCGGGGCTTACAAATGCAGGAAACGATGAGAACGGTTGAGGTTCATCACACTGCTAAACAGAATCATCACTGGAAATCTTGTAGCACGATAGGGAAGCTAGTATTTTAATTTTTATGAATTTCATGATTACAGAGGCTGACTGTAAGAAGATGACACAGCCTGCTCATGCCCTCTTTGTCATCTGAGAACCGAACCAGAACTAAACCATGCCAAGCCCTAGTGATTAACTACTACCAGTTCAGAGCAGTTTCATTGTGTCTGGCACGGCCTGGTTTAGTGTTGTGTGCCATTTACATTTAACAGTTATCTTGGTTATCGTGCTCTGAGCGATCACACCATGGTTTCAAAAGGATAGTGTAAATGGGGCAATTGACTATTCAGGACTCACTCATCCTGGAAGAACATCTTGTGACAGTAGATATTGTCAGGTCTGGTGGAAGTTAGTTGAGGACCCAAATGCAGAGATGAAGAGGCAGAGATTAGTTTTGCTGATTTAATAAAAAAATGCAACAGAAACTAAATCCAAGAGCCAAAATACAGGAAACCAAAAACCAGGAAAAACACTTAATGAAGAGGAGAAGTATATATGGGGGGTTCATCAGCTGATATGGAGCAGGTATGGATAGAAGTGACTATAAGGGAGCTAGGAGAAAGGAGACTGGCACAAGGGGGCAACAGAAGGTAACTCAAAACAAATGCAACACAACTTAAATATAACATAAAATGGAAAATAAACCAATAGATAACTGATTAAACGAACAAACAAAAAAAGAAAACTTCCAAGTCCAGAAAGTCCAAAAAGGGAGAACCATAACAGATATTTGCTTGCCCATGGTCCTTGATTTTACAGCAATATTCCCTCATACTGAGTGTGCATGGGGTGACAGTGGAGAGTTCACTTTTAGCAGGAAAGAGCGGCACGCTGCTGTGGCCCACTGAGGTTTAAAGAAAAAGAATAAGTCATGTGACTTTAAGCACTACTTTACAACACTTTTAGCTGCCCTTAAAAACAAAAGCTGACTGTAAAAGTTGGTAGGCAACAAGTAAGATTTTAAAACAGAGGGAGACTGTTCCTTTTCTGACTCAGCAGATCCTACTCGCAATGTACAAGTCTAGCGCCCCTAGTGGCCAGAAAAAAAGTTATCCAGTTTTGCTGTTAAAAGACACTTTCTGAGTAATAACACTAAACTGACAGAGATTTTCTTTATCGTCAACTTGTGTGTTTCTCTCACTTGTATCTCTGTTTCACCAAAAAAATGATATATATTTTTAAAGATAAAGTTTCAGAAGCATTTCTAAGTCGGTTGTTTTACCTTATTTCCAGGTGTTCTATTCATTGCTTTGGCTGTGGGATTATTCACTGTGATAATAATCGCTGTGGCGATCGTCGGCTGGAGAGTGAAACGTGAGAACTCCGATATTCCAACTGGAATTAACAGTATTTTTTCTTTTTTTGTTCAAACTACTGACACATTTTAAATTCTGTTCTTAGGAAAGAAAACACTGAGAGATGAAAACACTGTGAGTAAAATAATATTTTACTCAGATAATTATATTTAATACATTTTATTAATCAAATCTTTAATGACACCCAAACAAAATAACCCTAGATGTTGTAACAAACTAACTAAACTGTGAAAAAACAGATGTCAAACAACGAAGAACATTTTTTAAACAAAGAGATAAGTTGTCATTGGGAAAGGGAATGTGAGAACAGATATGAAATCTATAAATCACTGATTTGTTACCGTGTTGTTTCCTCCGTTTAGGTTAATGTGAATGCAGGGGATGTTTTCTACTCCACCATCAGACACCGTGAGAACAGTGATGAAATTTTGGTAAGACTTCAGGAAATTTTCTACAGTAGTTCCACCAAAAGGAAGTATAAGCAATAAAAATACAATGTAATATAGGCCCTATATATATATATATATATATATATATATATAAGTGATTATACATGTTTTTAGGTGAGTGGGGAGTGTTGTTAAAGCAGTGCGCTTGTGCTCTTAGAAGGTTGTCAGTACCAGGTTCGGTCCCCACAGCCTGCCTTTCTTTGTCTCTGAGCAAAGACCCTTAACCCGATACTGCTCCCCGGGTGCCGCACAGTGGCAGCCCACTGCTCCCTAAGGGGATGGGTTAAATGCAGAGAGTGAATTTCCCCATGTGGGACCATAAAGGGATTTGCATACATTTGTTAAATTTTTTTTCTTTTACTGGATTGTCTGAATTTATTAATACATTCAGTTGTTGCTTATAGATTTGTAAAAGTACAAACCTGTATGAATTGGACTGAGGAGTTACAAAAACATCATCATGAAATCGTACTTATTTCAGTCAGACGTTTTAAAATGAACAAAAAGAATGGTGATTGCTCACTCTGGGGTGGTCCTCAGTGTCTCCCCCTAGTGGAGTGGTGTTGGTATAATTTGTTTATAAAGTACAGAGCTGGAGATAAATAGGCAGGTGTAGGCTTTAGATAAAGACATTCAGAAGCGCTTTTGAAATAGAAAAGAGCTGAATTAAACAGTGAAGCTCTTAATATTCTCAACAATCCATTTTCTATCAGCCAGGTTAAAAAGATAATGATGACAGCCTGAATGAAATCCTGAATTCAAGCGGATAAAATGAGCCTCCCTTTTAAGCTAGTTTGGCAAAGCCTTAGGCAAAGGATCAGAAGCTCCATTATTTAGTTTCAAAGAAGCAACTCAAGCAAAAATGCATTGTGTCTGTCTTTGGGTATCTTTTTTTTTGTTTTTACATCAGAGTTGTGTCAGCCAGTAATTACGTTGACAGATCCCCCCTGCTGAAAGGTTGTTGCTCAAGGATTTGGAAAGTAAGGACAACCATGAAGTAGGATCAGGGGTTTAAGTAAAATTTTTTAAAAACAAATGGGAATAAAACCATTAGAAAATGTACCTCTCATTTAAAAGTTAGAAGAATATGTAGGTATTTATGTGCAATATCCTTTTTTAAATTAGGTGTTGTCTTTTTATGTTTCCAGGTTCACGGCGATCTTGAAACGGTGACCTACAGCACTGTGAGAAATCATTGTTAATCTGCTGCAGCATCTGATAAACCTCTAATCTCTTTGACAAAGGCAAGATGTAGCCACAGCAAGAACTGGCAGGACAGTCGGGCTCTATTAAGTAGCTGTCTCAAGCGGTGCAATCACATTTTCTAATGGTGCTATAGTAATGTCAGCAGATGGCACCGGGTCTTTATCTGTGCACTTATCACACTTTTTCCTGGAATACAGAGAATTGTTACAAGACTGGATGCTGGTATACATAACCTTATTTTATCAAGATATTTTTTTTAAACATATAACTTAGCTATGCACCTTCTAAGCTCTGTAGAAAATGTGTTGCAACATTACTGATTCGTCAAAGCTGCATATAAGCTTAAAATGTTCACTAGGGCTATGGTAAATTTTGGTCTAAAACTGTCAGAATGCTGCCCTCTAGGGGTTGGAGATTGACCACTGTGGCTGAATTGTGCTCTTCGGTTGGATGCCAGCCGTAAAAAATGGTCAATGTCTACATCACAGCCCAGGTTTCAGTATAAAATTATTTCATTTTAATTACACAACCTTAGCCTGCTGGGGTACAGGAAAAAAAAATCTACGGTGAATCTAGCAGCATTTATTTGCTTACTCTTCAAGTTAATTCAAGCTTCTGTTTCCTGCTTTAGCTTTACAATAAACTGAGTTGATGCGACCCATCAATGTGTTAACTACGTATATTTCTCTGTCCATTGGCGGTTGAAACCCCCAGAGCTCTGCTGCTGCTATTCACCACATTCTCATCAAACACATTGTTAAAAAAAAAAGGTAAACTGGAAATACACAGGTTTTAAAAGGTGAAACACAATCTTACCAGTGTTGCTGATCTATGAAATGTATCAATTAAAGCTAAAATCTATGCAAAACATTTGATCTGCTGCTTATTTATCAAATTTTATCTGATGTATAAATCGTCACACTCTAATGAAGCGGAAGTGAAAGTTCAAGCTGGAAGACCTGAAATCAGCCTAACCTGGAACACCTGCTGACGTCGCTCACCTAAGCTTTAACTAATTGAAGACGGACCGCACCTTCTCCAAAGTTAATATACAGTTAAATAATTATATAAAATTTCATAGAAGCTTCTCTACAGTCAAACCTGATTCGAAAAATGTTTCCATATCCCATTTTGCAAATTAACCCATGTTATGGATTTAATTTTTTTTTTGACAATTTGAGATTTTGTTTATCTAATTTTGCCATTTCCATCAATCTTTTCTTATGTAATGCTTTAAAAGCTAAAGCAGACAGACTGAGTCTAACAACAGACTGCTTCTACATCACGTTAGAGACGAAGATGCCCAATGTTATATCTGTCAATGATAGAAATATACAGGCAAAAACCTACTGGTTCATCAGTCTGCTGTAGATATGTCTGTTAACAATGAGTTTAAATATTTTTATATATTTTAAATGATCATTGTTAGACTTTAAAGCCATTTTATGCAGTCCTATGTGGAAAAGATTACATTGATAGGAATATTCTAATTTTATGTTGTGAAGAGATTTGTCTATTTCTGTGTTTTACTGTTTTTGTCTTCCGTGACTAAACAGGAGAATCAAAGAGTGACTTTAAGCCGATCTATGGTGACCTTTGACCTTTGTAGATACAAAGTCAAGTGGTTTATTAAGGATGGGGACAACAAAGAACCACCATCAGAGACTGGCTGCTCTGCTACTGTCTCTTTATCATCAGGGTCTGAGTTCCCTCAGTGTAAAGTGACTGATACTGTTACTGATGAAGAGTTTACCTTCAGTCTTCAGTCCTCAGGTGAGAAACACGTTAGAAGATGATGAACTGTGAGTGTGCGAAGCAGTAATCGAAGCAAAAGGTGGCTACGTTGAAGAACGTAGATTATAAGACATATTTTCATTTTTTTTCGACAGTTTTTTGTTAAGTACTTAATTCCACATGTGTTAATTCATAGTTTTGATGCCTTCAATGTGAATCTACAATTTTCATAGACATGAAAATAAAGAAAACCATTTGAATGAGTAGGTGCCATATATCCACACACATATATATATATCTATGTGCGTGAACGCTGTTTACTGAATACGTTCACATTTTAGTGAACAGCTCACTTTTGCATTCAGTTGTTCAAGACACTTTTCACTGGATAACATCAGGTTTTACTGACATTTATGTTAAACAGCATGACAGACCAGCATGTCTTTTTTTTTTCTTTTTCTTTTTTGTCCGATTTCACCAGTATAGCTCTGGTGATTGATGTCCCAGGGCTAGCTAATAGCCCAACAGCTTTGCTTTCACAAGCAGAACAGAATGACTGCTTGATACTTGTACTGTTAAACTTTTTTGAACATTATCTGGGGAGTAAAATCATATACAAAAGACACAGAAAGGGAGGTGAAAGACAAAAGGGGGATAAGAATGAAGGGAAGAGGCTGAGAGAGAGTATCCTTTCCATCTGTGTCGGAGTCAGATCCTACGGTGATTACACAATAACAATCAGGGTGGTATATATCTGCAGCTGCAGTTCAGTATTTAGGATCAGTGTATATCCTTGAATACCTGGAACTAAATGCAGGAGCAGGCTAATGTATAAAGGATTCACCAAGCTGCTTTAGAGGGAACATATGTTTAATAGTGTGGTCATCCCCAGACTAGCCCTACAAGGCTAGATAGAAAAAGAGTTAAAGAAAGAGCCCCATTCTCAAGAGGCACCAGAGATCACTGGGACACAAGGAGGGCAGACATAGGGATAGACGCACCCACCAGAGAAGGGCAGATGAGAGGTTTGGAGTTTGGTGCCCAAACCCCAAAAGGGGCCCAGTCCCCGTAGGAGGGCCGACCCCAGAGGTAATAGTGCCAGGTCCTCAAGGGGCCATGGCAGTAAGCCCATGGGCTCTGCCAGCGGAAAGTCACGCCCAAGGTGGATACGAATGAAAGCCCCGCTGCCCGAGATCCATGACGCACCACTCCCAGGAGGCTCAGGTTTGGCTCAGCAGCCACCTGGAATGAGACAGCACCCACTGAAATACCCAACCCCACACCCGGAGAACCGTCAGCACACCAGCAGACACAGGAATCTTTCACATTCACATTATCCCACCCTTAGACCCATATGCACATATATAAGCACACAATGGTTAAGCACACAGAGACAGACACTAATCATATTTTTACAGTTCTCATACATAGGGCCACTACCTTTAGGTGGAAGAGACCCACAGATCCAGGAGGAGAACCCCAGATCCCTCCATGAGGATAAGGGGCAGGCAAAAAAATAAATAAAACACAAAACACACAAATAATTAAATAAATTCAAGAAAAAGGGGTCCGGAAATGGATGCCCCGTGGATGCTGCTACCTCTCCTGTCAGGAGAGGTAGCATCCTCTCCTACCATCCTCACCTACTCATTCATAACAGGGAAGAGGTCGGCATTCTCCTCCTTTTCCCTGTTATGAATGTCATCGCTTTCAGCAATGGTTTAATACAGTGTTCAGTCTTTTGTGCAGATAATGATTGTATACAACGTAATGTTTTTGGGGGGTTTTTCAGCAGTCATTAATCCATAAAGTTAATGCAGACTCCATCATAATATGTGTACTTGTGCGTTATTTGCTCCTCAGCCCTAGTACTGTTCTAATTCACAAGAACACAAGACTGAGAACGGACAAAGTTCCAGGATGTTGTGCTCGCCCCTTCCTCTTTACCAAGTATGCATCAGAGTGCTGGTGAAGATTCTCAGTCATCCAGGTCATAGTCATTCAAAAAAAGTAAACACAATCCACTGGACTGTGTTTCCAAGTTTGAAGACGTTTCGCTTCCCATCAAGGAAGCTTTTTCAGTCGGGAGAGTGTGGGGAGACATTAGCGTTAAGAGTTGTTGAGAGGACTGTGGCAACCAGCAGACCTCTGCTGCAAACTTAAATTTGGCAAGCTGGCTCATGTATATCCATCCATCCATTTTCCTGCACACTTATCCCAAGTGGGGTCGTGAGGGGTGCTGGTGCCTATCTCCAGCTGTCTGTGGGCGAGAGGCGAGGTCCACTCTGGACAGGTCGCCAGTCTATCGCAGGGCAACACAGAGACACACAGGAAGAACAGCCACTCACACTTACACCTAAGGAGAATTTAGAAAAGCCAATTAATGTAACAGTCATGTTTTTGGACTGTGGGAAGAAGCCGGAGTACACAGAGAGAACCCATGCATGCTCAGAGAGCATGCAAACACATGCAAATTCCATGCAGAAAGACCCTGAGCCGGGAATCAAACTTGGAACCTTCTTGTTGCAAGGCAACAGTGCTACCCACTGTTCCACTAAGCAGACCGTTTTATGTACATGTATATTAAAATATTACACCGTAACATTATTGACACACAGATAGAGAAAAGTGTGGATACTATTTAGCCAATCAGATTTATGAATGCAATTTCGAGAAGCAGCGAGACCATGAATAGTGCACCACATTATAGCATATGTTTACTGTACTGCAAAGTGATTAGCCAACCTCTTGCTTACAGGCAAGGTTAGAGAAATACCCATGAACAGCTACCTTTTCCTGCATATGTATTATAATTGGCTTTGAAACCCACTAAGTTCATGTGTCTATTAATGTCACCCATCAATGTGTTAACTACGTATATTTCTCTGGTCAGTGTGGGTAAAACCTCCAGAGCTCTGCTGCTGCTGTTCACCACATCCTCATTAATCACTTCCTTTTGCGTTTTTACAAAAACGCTTCAGAAGTTAAACTGGAAACAAACAGGTTTTAAAGAGTAAAATATAATCTTACAAGTATGACAGATATATGAAATTAGACTTGAAATAATAGAAATGAAATTAGTTATTTATTCTTTCATCCTCAGTTAAAACAAAAACATGTTTTTACCAAATAAAGCTGCGTGTCGCCCATCAGTCAGAGTGAGGAAGTGGTGAGTCTCAGGAAGTAGAAGCTACATGTGTGTTCAGCAGGCAGTCAGACAGTTCTGAGGGTGAGAGCAACAGACGCACGATGGCTCAACTCAGATGGATTCAAGGGTTTTTATTAATGATCCTGCAGCTCACAGGTAGGAAGACTGAAAACCTTTGCATAGAGCTATAAATGATAGATTTGCTTTATCAACTGTGTCTGTGTTTAGATTGAATATTTCTGGTTCTGTTTTATCTTCTAACAGTCACTGCAGATCAAACATCTGTTTTAAAGAGAGCTGGAGATGAAGTCACATTGAAATGTTCAACAGTGATCGATGGTCAACAGAAGTGTAACAGCACTACATGGACCTTCGATGATTCAAGAAACAGAGCATCAGTAGAGCTGGTTATCCTCGGTCAGGTTAATAATGACATCACTAAAGCAGACAGACTGAGTCTAACAGCAGACTGTTCTCTGGTTATAAAGAAGGTCAGAGAGGAAGATGCTGGACGTTATTACTGTGAACAATGGGAATATAGAGGAGCAGACAAATCGGTTTACTGTATGTGACTGCTGTAGATCTGTCTGTTCTTAACTGTGAGTTTTAACGTTTGTTAAATAGATATTGATGCACTTTCAAGTTGACGTGTTTTAAGCAGCAATATGTTAAAAATATTACTGTGATGGAGGTCATTTGTGTGGTTTAATGTTTTATTGTTTTTTTCATTATCAGTGATTAAACAGAAGGAGAATCAGAGGGTGACATTAAGCTGTTCTGTAGTGAGCTTTGGCTCCTGTAGATACAAAGTGAAATGGTTTAATCAGGATGTGGGCAACAAAGAACCACCATCAGAG